CATTGTTGTTTGGCGGGTCGGGCTGGGGATTCGAACCCACCACCTTAGGTGTACGTGGCTGGCGCCTTAGCCGGTTGAGCTATAGGCGCCGAGCCTAGACATGTTTTTAAACTTCAAGTGTTTCCCTGTTTGTGCACTGAGATGGTAACAGTACCTACGTGTTCTCATAGGGTTGTGAAGATTGATATAAGATAGCCAGCATTCAGTAAATGTCAGTTATTATTTTAACAGAGTAGGAATGATCTGAAAAAACTCACTAGGAAATATTTCTTACTAAAAGAAGGCTAATGTATGAAGCCTCCCCACAATTCAACACTTTGAAAATATGTTGAAGCCCTATAGAAATATTCAAATTTGACTTATGTTTACATAAATACATGGTTAAAATACTTTCCTTTTTTTAGACAGACTCTGTCACTGGGGCCAGAATGCAATGGCATCATCTTAGCTCACTGCAACCTCAAACTTCTGGGCTCAAGAGATCCTCCTGCCTCAGCCTCCCAAGTAACTGGGACTATAGGTACATGCCAACAAGCCAGCTAATTTTTCTAGATAGAGTCTTAACTCTAGCTCAGACTGGTCAAAATACTACCTTTTTTTTTTTTTTTGAGACAGAGTCTCACTATGATACCCTTGGTAGAGTGCTGTCGTGTCATAGCTCACAGCAACCTCAAACTCTTGGGCTTAAGTGATTCTCCTGCCTCAGCCTCCCAAAAAGACTATCTTTAAAAATGATTTTGTCAAGAGATCTGTTTTGGGCTTGGTGCCTGTAGCTAAGTGGTTAGGGCGCCAGCCACATAACACCAAGGTAGGCAGGTTCAAACCCAGCCCAGGCCTGCTAAACAACAATGACAACTGCACAAAAAAAATAGCCAGGCATTGTGGTGGGCGCCTGTAGTTCCAGGTACTTGGGAGGCTGAGGCAAGAGATGACTTAAGCCCAAAAGTTTGAGGTTGCTGTGAGCTGTGACACTACAGCACTCTACTGAGGATGACATAATGAGACTCTTGGTCTCAAAACAAAACAAACAAAGAAGATATGATTTTTTGCAGGATTTCCAATTTCTCACTCAAGTAGAATCAGTTATAGTTGTGTGTATATGTAACTCAACTAAAGTTGTTAGGTGATTTATTTCATTGTGCAAACATCATAGAAGATATTTACACAAACCTAGATGGTACATAGTATAGCCTACCTAGGCCGTATGGTATAGCCTATTGCTCCTAGGCTATAAACCTATATAATAGCATGTTACTGTAATGGATAGTGTACGCAACTGGGACACAATGGTAAATATTTGTGCATCTAAACAGAGAAAAGGTATGATAAAAATACAGCATAAAAGATACAAAAAAATATGATACACCTGTAGAGGGTACATATCATAAACGGAGCCCGCAGGGCTGCAAATTGCTCTGTGTGAGTCAGTGAGTGTATGTGAAGGTCTAGGACATTACTGTACACTACTGTAAACTTTATAAACTCTGTAACCTTAGGCGACACTAAATTTGTAAAGTACTTTTCTTCAATAATTAACCTCAGGTTACTACTATATCTTTACTTCATAAACATTTAAATTTAACTTTTTGACTCTTTGGTATTAACATTTAGCTTAATACAAACACATTTGTATTGTGGATGTGTACTATAAAATAACAATGAAAACACAGCTGTAAAAAAGTACCTTTTGGCTCGGCACCTATAGCTCAACCGGCTAAGGCACCAGCCACGTACACCTAAGGTGGCGGGTTCGAATCCCCAGCCCGGACCCGCCAAAATAACAATGACAGCTGCAACCAAAAAATAGCCGG